TTGCCGCTGCTGCCCGAGCGGGGGGGCTTGTTGTGGACATAATTCAGTCATCTGGGAGCCTGCCAGGTTCCGCGGGCCCACTGGCCCCCTCCCTTGTTCTGCAAACGGGACCCAGCCCCAGTACTGTTTGTGTTTATTTATAAATTTTGAGACCTGAAGTTCCCATCAGGGGAAAAAAAACCCAGATCCTTAGGGCAGGCAGTGCAGCGCTGGTGTTGCAGAGGGCTGCGAGGCTGCATCCCTTGTCCTCACTGCAGCAACCCCTCGCACCTCGCCAGGCTCGCAGCCTCCCTGAAAAGTTTTATTCCTCTGTTTGCACAAGCTCTCATGCTGCGGTAGGTTGGGGTTTTACGGGGTGGCTGTGCCGCGCCTCTCGTGTCTCCATGAGTAGCGAGAGGGGAAGAAAAACAACATCTGCGAGAGCTGTGTGCCGCTGAGTACCCCAGGGCTTGTACGGTGGCCACCAGCCCCGGTTGGTTTTTTGCAGGACCCAGGACTTTCTGGACATGCAGGCGTCGGAAATCACTTGCTCTTCCTGCGAATGCTGGACAGAAAAAGTCCTTCCCCCTGCCACGGGTGCTTGTGGTTTTAATTTCCACCACGGGTGCTGCGGGGAGCAGAGAGGCATTTCCCGCTCCGGTGGCAGCGCGTAAAGCACCTGGGTACCCGCAGCCCTCGCCGGGTACGGGATATCACCACCCCAGGGAGAGTCCTCAGCGTGGCTGTGGGGATGGAGGTACCCGTTAGAGTCCGTCATCTTCTAGGGATGACGCGGTACCTCTGCAAATCGGGGGGGAGAAATGCTGATTTTATTAAAAAGAAAAAAAAAAAAGGCAACGTCTGCCATTTCCAGGCCTCGTTTCTATGGGAACGGGACATCAGAAGAGCAGAAATGTGGTGAGCGCTCTAAAATAACTCCTGGCTCCCAGGAGCACGTGGCCTTTGCTCAGCTCACCCAGCCCTTTCCGCTGAGCCGGTGACTGGGGACGGTCAGCTCCCAGCGTGGAAGTGGGTCAGGAGGTGGGATGCTGTGGCCTCGATCCTCATGCCAGTTCTTAGCCTGTTCTTATGTAAATTCATCATCAGGAGACCTCTAGTCCAGGCTCTCCCATGTTGTCCGTTGTGGCTCCCCCGGGCGCCGTAGGCGATGAGGACTTGCCTGGCTTCCACATGTCTGGGCTGGAAGAGGGTTTCCTTCCTTGCTGACCTCCCTGGGGATGGTCAGAGCGAATCCACCCTCACGTATTTAGGAGCCTCTTCCTCCTGCTGTGGTTGGAGCAGGGTATTTCCAGCCAGCGGGGGAGAGGAACTGCGTTGTTCTCCCAGCAGCTGGTGGTGGTCGTCTTTCTCTCTCTCCCCCCACCCAGATCTTTATGCCCCTTGCTGGGAAAGTCAGCCTTATCTCTCAGGGCTGAGGTCAGGCAGGAGAATGTCTCCGGAGGGCACAGCCCGACCTGCCGCCACGCGAGGAGGCAAGTGCATCGCAAGGTGTCCACCTGCGAGGTACAAGCCCTGAGGTCAGCTTGCACAGCCCTCCTTTTCCTGCCAAAGGTGGTCCCAGGCTGGGGCAGGAGTGGCTGGGGACGCTGCCTGTGGTCACGGGAATCTTGAGGGCTGATCCAGGCATCATCTTCCAAAGAAATAAAAAATGTTTTCCCCTTTTTGGTTGAAAAAAATCATTTCAGTGGATGCCCAGAGCCTGGAAAGCCATTTTTGCTCTCAAATCTGATAAGAGCAGTCGTGTTGTAACTGAGCTTCTTCCTCCTTTTGCCCTACAGCGAGTGAAAGGTCCAGTACAGGTTTTCTTGGCACGCTTAAAAGCTTAAGTAAAAAAAAAATTATTGGCAGTAATGAAGTTTTCCGGCTTTGCATAGTGTTTGCGTTACCCAAGAGCTGCTTGACATTTTCTCAGCCGTTAGACCCAGGTGGGCGGTCGTGGAGGGGGACGGCCAGTTTGCCTTTGAGGGTGCGGTGGGGCGAGCGGCCAGGAGAGACGCGGGAGCAGGAGATGCCATCTCTCTGAGGGCAACAGCCTCCTCTGGCCTGATCTGTCTCATTTGTCCTCTTGAAAACAAGCAGAAAAAAGAGTTTGATTCCCTCAGTTCACTGTGGGTTTGCTTTGAGCGAGCACAGGAGGAAGGTTTCTGCTCCTGGGAGGTGCAGCAGGTCCTACAGCAGACTGGTGGCGTTTCTGCAAGGGTACGTGTGGGCCAGCTGGAGATACGGTGCTTTGTGATGGGCTTGAAGGTGCTGAAGCTGAAATTCAGTGGCAGCTGCCTCCGTGAAGTCCCCTTTGCTGTTCCTTCCCTGCTTGCTGCCCGGGGTGGGTCTGACGGGCTTTTCTGGACCTCTTCATCCTTTTTCCTGCTCAGAGAAGGATCCTGCTGTTGCAGGAATCTGACTTCTGCATGTGGAATGGCAACAAAGACGGGTTTGCTTTTTTTTTTAGCCCTGAGAACGTGCCTTGGTTTGGGTTGGGGATGGGAAGGTGTGTGCCAAGCCAGGAGAATGCTTCTGGCGGGCTGAAAGAGCTGGTGGCGTAGGGCAGGGTCGATGTGTGGATGCTTGTTGCTTTGCCTGCAGACCTACACAGATTTTAGCTTGCTCTCACTACGGCTCGGTCGCTGCTGGTGCTCTGCCCTCAACGTGCATCTACTGGTCCCTGGTCCAGGAGCGAAGGTTGGGCAGGCTGGATCGCCAGCCTCCCCTCTCCTCTCGCTGCAGCACCCTAAACTCCCTGCTGAGGTTTGGTGGCTGCCAGCTGGATTGAAGGAGCCACTGCCATCCTAACTGGGGCTGGAAAATGTGCTGTGAAACATGTCCCAGGGCATTGCTGGTAGGTGATGTGTCCATTCTTGTCTCTGCAGCAGCTTTGGGTGCTGCCAGGCTTTGGAGCACAAGAGGAACCCAGCAGCTGCTCACAGAAGGAGCAGCAGGACTGCTGGGTGCTGCTGTGACACAGGTTGGCCCCATTTCTGTGAAAAAATCAGGGGGTTGCCATGCTCAGAGGCCCAGGGGCTGCATCCAGCAGCATGGACTCTGCTTGTGCCAGGGCTGCCCCGTCTCTGCAAGTCACTGCAGGCGCACAATCACAGCCTGTCTCTTGGTGGGACACAGTGATGCCTCATTAGGAAACCAAAACAACTTGGAGGGATACTTCCCAAGGTGGGGAGGATGCGGGTGTATTGTCCTTGAGCCTTCTACTTCCCTGCCTTTTTCTCACCCTCGCCTCTCTGAGGAGAGTTTCTGCTGTTAACATCGCAAAGCCAACCCTTGGTGTTGCAGGAGGCACAGCTTGAAATCTTCACCATTCCCAACGTGATGGGCTACAAGGCGTTTGTTGGCCTTCCTCGGGCTGGAGTTTGCTGTTCTGTAACCTTGCGCTCCTGCAGCTTAAGGAAAGCTGTTTCCTGCCTGCTGCTGAGGCATCCCAACACCCTCAGGGATTGGGCTTCTAAACAGCAGCCTTGGAGAAAGGAGCCACAACAGTTGTTTTCCCCTGTTTAGGGCTGAGCCAACATCAGACTGGAAGTGGGGAGCTCCCCGTGAGATGTGGGATGCTACTCTCCTGCCACTCCAGGTCCGCGAGCGCCCAGCATTCACAGCTCGCTCCTCTCTTCCAGGGTCCTGCGGAGAGGCGGCAGTGGTCCCCTTCTGATGGGAGGATGGTTGTTCTCAGGCAGTTTGGGCTGCTGCTCTGGAAGAATTACATTCTTCAGGTAAGCTGGTGCCGCGCTCTTGGGGTGCTGCCTCTTGTCACCGCGTGACACGGGTCTGTCAGAGCTCGCCCAGGGTCTTGATTCTGCAGTGAACCGTCAAGGCATCTCCTGGAGAGAAACTGATTTATTTGTGCATGCCGTGTCATCCTGATTTTGTGCTGGGGAGTTACGGGAAGGGCTGTGTGCCTGATTGTCCCCTCGACGCTGTGCCATTCCCCTCAGTTCTGTGATCTGGGTGGGATTTCAGCTCGCTCTTCTCTGCAATGGGAGCTTTCTTGATCTCTCTTGTGACTCAGCCTCCTCTCGAGCTGCCGATTGCTGCACGGACCCTCCAAACCCACTGGCCCCAGGTTTTTTTCCCTCTGCTGCTTTCACAGAAGCAGCTTTTGGGGACTTTAAAAAACATGAAACCGCTGTCATCCTGGTATTCCCTCCCAACCCGGCTCTCCGTGTAGTGACTGGTTAATGATGAGGGGTTTCGAGACCTCGAGGTCCCTTTGTCCCACTGACCTGAGGCTGCAGCACCTTTCAGCAGCATTCGGGTGCTCCTGGCTCTGATTCTCAGGGCCAGCCATGGCAGAGGGCGGAGGGAGGAGCAGAGATCCAGGCTTTAGGCTTTCAGCTGTCCTTCCGCCGATCGGCACAGCGTTGCTTTAAAAATCAGCGGAAGGAAGAGGGAAGGGCTGGCTGGGATGCTCGTGCTCGGCTTTCTGGCAGCAGCGGGTCTGGGCTGAGACCCACAGGACTGACTTGCGATGGCCAGGCCTGTGAATCCCCCTCCTACACCCTAGACACATTACAGGACAATCCCCCATCTTTTACAGGGCAATAGCAGCATTTTTGGGGTGTGCTCTGGGGTCGTGTTTTCCAAGGCCAAAAAGCTGACTTGGACCTACTGTGCCAAAACACAACCTAGAGCGTTTGCTCCCCTCCTCTTAAGTCTCCACCAGAAATCACAGTCCTGATGAAGAGCTCCCAAAGCCGTCATCGCCCCAGTGTGAGGATGGATGCTGGGGTGCGTGGGCTTGCTCAGAGCTTACTCTGAAAATAAATACTCCCTGACTTGCTCAGAGCTGGGGCAGCCCTGGCCAGGCGGAGGTGGTGATTATGGATGAGTGTCCCTGTCACCTCTGGAATACAGCAGCTTAAATGACTTCTGCGGCAATGAAAGCCCGTGCTGACAAATCGCTATTAGCGTGTGAGTACAGGGAGCCAGGCGACCGTTCTGGAGACAGACCGGGAGACTGAGAGAGGGTTAATACGATTGTAAATCAGCGGGAGGCAGCTGGTCAACCAGAGCTGCATTATAAAACCATGAGACATCTGCAACCTTTGCTTTTATGAGCCTGACTTTTGGAAAAGCTCTTTTTTCCCTACTGCTTCCTGGCTGTGCTGCCAGGGCTGGTCTGAAGAGGGGTTTTTGGCTTTGGTAGTGGGTGCTGAGAACCAGGGCAATGTGGGGAGCGGCTGAAACCCCAGAGAGCCGATTCACCCCAGGTGCTGCGGGACACTCTGTTTCCCTTTCCTGGTGTTGTTCCTTGTTCCAGTCCAGCGGAGCGGAGGGTGGAAAACCCCCTGTGTCTTGTAAAGCCTGTCTTAACCAGAGACCTCATGCTTCCTCCTTGGAAGCAAGTGTTAATTTTACGAGCATGAATTATCAGTCAGCAGCCTGTGTTGGCACCAGTGGTGTGTGATGCCGGTTGGGACCCCTGCTGTCCCTCTGCTCAGAGGTGACCCCAGTTCCCTTGGAGTGGAGCAGTTTTAAATGGTAATTAACCTGAGTGTTGGTACCTAGTGGGAAGTTTGCAAGAGAGGCAGACCTGGAGGGTAAAATGCTCTGGCTTTGCTGCCTGGGTGCATTCAGCAGACTCAAGTCCTTTGTCTGGTTGCTTGAACAATTAAAAAAAAATAAACAAGCGGCTGTGTTTGGTGCAGGCAGCCCTTGGGGTGATGGCTGAGCTCGTGGGTATGTTCTCAGTGCTGTGCAGGAGATCTGCCAGGTCCCGTCCCGGGCTGGGATGCAGAGCCCATGCCCTGCTCCAAGCTCTGGCAGCAAAAGCATCACTGTCTGCAGGAGCTTTGCTTCGCTCTGCTTTACCTCCCCACTGTTTGCTCATCCCAGCCTCTCCTTTGGCCACATTATTTTTAGCTCCCGGCCCTGGAAACGTTGGGCAAGGTTACTCTATGCTTGAGTGAAAGCTGTTCTTTTGGCTTTCCCAGGGCACAGGCTCCGCTCGCAGGAGCTGCATTGCCACCGTTCCCTGCGGGAGAGGGTTGGACAGAGCCCCGCGGTGCAGGGAAAGGGCAAAGCGACCAACTCGGCTCGTTCAAACGCGGCAGCGTGGCAGGGAAGGCTCTGAAGGAGAGTGGTTTGAGGTGGAGGTGTGCTTAGGGAAGGGGATGCCTTGGTTGGAAGGTCCTGAAGGGTGCGGGAGCTGGTGCGGCGTCGTTCCTGGGCTCCGGGAAAAAACAGGTTGTGAAACCTTGTGAAGTGCAAGAAATGCTTCTGCTTCATGGTGTTTGCGTACCCTGAACCTTGTTACTGTGTTTGACCCGCCTTCAGTGTTTAAGTCTTAATTTTTTGTCATAGAATCACAGGCTGATTTGGGTTGAAAAGGACCTTAAAGGTCATCTCGTTCCAACCCTCTGCCATGGGTGGGGACACCTCCCACCAGACCAGGTTGCTCCGAGCCCCAGCCTGGCCGTGGACACTTCAAAGGATGAGGCATCCACAGCTTCCCTGGGCAACCTGTGCCAGTGTCTCATCACCCTTATGGTGAAGAATTTCTTCCTAATATCGAATCTAAACCTACCTTCTTTCAGTTTTAAGCCATTACCCCTTGTCTGATCACTACCATGCCCTTGTGGAAAAAGTCCATTCCCATCTTTCCTTTTGATGCAGCCCAGGCTACAACTGAGTTTCTGGCTCATGTCCAGTTTTTCATCCATCAACACCCCTAAATCCTTCTCCACAGGGCTGGTCTCAATCCCTTCATCCCCCAGCCTGTGTTTCTATCTGGGTTTTTTTTTCCTTTGCAGAAACGGCAGATCCTGGTGACAGTCATCGAAATCTGCCTGCCACTGCTCTTCGCCGCCATCCTGATTGCGCTGCGGCACCGGGTGCACTCCATCAGCCACCCCAACGCCACCCTCTACCCTGCCGAGGCCGTGGATGACCTGCCGGGCTTCTTCTACCGCCGGCACCCCAGCAACCCCTGGGAGCTGGCCTATGTCCCCTCCAACAGCAGTGCCGTCAGGGCCGTCGCCGAGGCGGTGGAGAGAGCTTTACCCATCAGCATCAGAGGTGAGCAGGGCTCGGGGGGCTGCTGCTTCCACCCCAGAGCTGTGGCTCTGAGAAATCTCAAGGCTCTGGTCCTGGGATGCATGGTTTGTTTTTTTAGCATGTCGAGGCAATGACGTTCAGCCTGGAGAAAAGGAGGCTGAGGGGAGACCTTCTCGCTCTCTGCAACTCCCTTACAAAAGGTTGTAGTGAGGTGGTGTCGGTCTCTTCTCCCAAGAAATAAGTGATAGTGCAAGGAGAAGCAGCCTCGAGTTGCACCACAGGAGGTTTAGATTGGATATGAGGAAAGATTTCTTCACAGAAAGGGTTGTCAAGCACTGGAACTGGCTGCCCAGGTAAGGCATGGAGTCACCATCCCTGGAGGTGTTTAAAAGCCACGTAGATGTGCTCAGGGACGTAGTTTCGTGGTGGGCCTGGCAGTGCTGGGTTAATGATTGAACTCTATGATCTTAAAGGTCTTTTCCAACCCAAACAATCCTATGATTCTATTTTTGTTTCACTAAAACTACAGTTTTGCTTTGCAGTTTCCATCTAGAAAAATGCCACCCTAGAATAGTTAAAGAAAGTGGCTGTCACTTCTCTGGGGAGGAATATTTTTGGAAATCCTGCTGCACAGAAAATCTAAGCACTTCATGTTCCAAACCGAAGCTAACGCTAGGATTCTCTCTGAAAGGAGACCTGACTCCTGCTCTTGAGAACTCCGGGGCTGGACACAACCTCCTACGCCGTCCTGGACTGGGACGATGGTTTTGGTGACGTCTGAGCCTCACCTGGTGTTGAGTTGCCCCTTTTTCCTCCTCCTCTCTGCAGCTCAGGGCTTCGCCTCGGAGCGGGACTTCGAGGTCAGGTCGGCCAACCGCTCGGGCAGCGTGCTGGCCGCTGTCGTGTTCCAGCACCGCTTCCAGCACAGCGCGGCCCCGCTGCCGCTCCAGGTGAGGGTGGGGGGGACACAGGGACAAGGAGGGGGACACACACACATCACCCTCGCGGCCATCACTGCCTCTCGTCCCTTTGTGTGCCCTATCCAGGTCAACTATGAGCTGCGCTTCAAGTACAGCCCGAGGAATGCGCCACGGAGCGAGCAGACGGGGCTGAACCCCAACCTTGACCGGGACTGGCACACCAGCTACCTCTTCCCCCTCTTCCAGCTGCCGGGGCCTCGGGAGGCCAAGTTTGCTGATGGGGGGACACCAGGTGAGGGACCCCCTCCATTGCTCCAGGCCCCTTGGCGGCCAAAGGGCTGGGTGTCATTTTCTGCTTGTTACAGGGGCTCTGAGCTTTTAAATAAATAGTTTCCTTGACAAAAAAAAAGAGAAAAATATTTAAATTGATTTTCAAAATCAATAATTTGTTTTTATTTCAATATTTTCAATATTTATTTATTATATATCATATTTATTGACATTGTATTCTGTGGCTTCTTGAGCACTCCCAGCCTCTGGGAACCTCTGCTGAGCAGGCTTGGCTAAGAATAATGTAATATTTTTAATTTTTTTCTTCCTTTTACATTTTTAATGCATTCAAACAGCTCATCTTGCCACTTAAATACCTTCCAAGTAAATAGAGCAGCAGTAGTAGGTATTTCTCTTGCTTGAGTTTCTCCTTCCATCACTCAGTAAGTGATGTTGAGGGGTTTTGATCACACAGTGTAAATACACCTGAGCCTGCGAGGACAGCGTCGGCTGGTTCTGTAGGACGGAGTGACCGGGAGCTCAGATTGGTTCCCTCGCTGCGGCATTTGCTTAGTAAACGAGTTACTATAAAACGTTGTTCATCATCTCCTGGTCTTCCCTTTTCCTCCTGCCTAGATCATTTTAAGGAGCTGACTTTTGAAACCCTTGCTGGGGGCTTTGTGACCAGAATGTAGGGTTTCCATTCCAGTAACGTGGGGTGGAAATCCCACAGGAAAATAAACCAGCTGAAGACTAAAAATCTTTCATTGTTTTCTAGTGCACAAAAAATTAAGCCAATTGTGTGAGTAATGGGATATATTCTTCCTCACCAAAACCTGCTTAGTGTCGCGTACTGTCTTGATTTACAAACGAATAAAAGGCCCCAAATGGAAGCTCAGCGGCAGAGGTGGTGGTTAATGATGACGGAGAACCTCCCCCCTTACAAAAATACCCCTGTGCCTGCAGAGAGGCAACAGCAGTTCCAATTGGATTTTCCTGCCAGCTGCTTTTAAATGATGATTATGAGAGATTTGAATTGCTGCAATTTAAATTTAACTCTTTCGTGGGCCCCTCTGTGCCTGCAGGAGTGTGTTGATAGCAACATTAATTTTGCTTTTCCTATGAGCTCTTTTTTTTATGTTTCCTCTTCTTCTTCTTCCTGAGCCATCTCTCCCACAAAGTCTGTTTCTCTCTCCTGGACCTGTCTATATCCCACTCCCCTGTGTCATTTTTGCCGTGCAGGCTACATCCGAGAAGGTTTCCTGGCCTTGCAGCACGCAGTGGACAGGGCCATCATACAGTACCACGCCAACGCCAGCTCCACCAGCCTCCTGGAGAACGTCACGGTGGTGGTGCAGCGCTTCCCCTACCCGGCATACGTCAACGACCTC